GAATGAAGAGACTTGTCTTTAGTAGTTCCACGCTAATACCCCTGTCGTTTATTTTTGCTTGTTCAGTATCGAGAAAGTTGATGTTTATTCTTGCCCACTAACATTTCATTAAACTGTTCATTGTTTTTGATTTGATTGTCAAAACTGTTAGATTTAATACGATGTATAGGAAATCTGCTTTCCGTACGCTAGACTTAATTATTGCAGTATATCGATGCTTGACATTGCTATTCGGATCCCATGAATATTCTTATTTCCAAATAAACTACTTTTTAAATATGAACTGCTCATAACGTGCACGGACTAACGTATTCGAATTTCAGTGAATTTATGTCCTAAGTCATGTAGCCACTCTTCAAAATTCCAGGAGCATCATTTTCTTTTCTTGTTTTTCATTACGGGTGACTAGAGCTCGATGACTTGCGTTATATAAAATAGTATCACACCCATTCCAAAATAAGTTTACAAAACAAAAGACGAAATTCTGCTGTTGTATTTTAGTATGGTTAGTTTAAAAATGAATGTATTCATTAGATCTGATTTCTACTAATCTCCTTTATTTATAGTACACAATTCTTCATTCTTAGTAAAACAGATAAGGAAACTAAGTTAATCAATGATGTCTAATCAGAAACGAAACATTCCTCATTTTCCATCGAGAAAAATACTCTACTGTATATTCTGATAGTTACATTTCCTGCTCTTAAAAACAACTTTTTTTTATTGAACAATTAGAAAAAAAAAAACACTCAGACCCGATGACTTTTATAATCAGTGCTAACAGATGTAGTATGTCATATGGAAATAATGTGGGCTGTATTTGAAACACGTTTTCATGAGACTACACACGTGTGATGTGAATACCATGGTTTTAGAAGTTCTCGAAATGATTATATGCATTCTGGTGGTCATGATGCAAATGTTATCACACGATATAGTGATCTTGAATATCAACTAAGTGCCTATGAGCAATATCCATGGACGAAAGATTATCCTGAACCATTACAACAAATTAAATGTTTGTATTTCATATGCTTCTTGTTTTTGGTTTTTTATCCATCCATTGATTTGTCATGCTTATTAATAGATGAATCTGAACGTCAAATTGATCCAATAACTGAAGGATTAAAATTAGCTAATCAACAAAATGAACGACTACAGTATGAACTTGAAGAAATGCATAAGAAGTTTGATACACTTAGTACACGTAATTATTCATATTGATTTTATCTTCACAAGTAAAATTCTCTTATGTTTTTTTTTTGTTGTTTCTTTTAAAGGTACAAGACAATTAGAATTATCAATGTCACCAAATGGCATGCCGAACTCATTTGATAATTATGATCGTTATCTATCATCACAAAATACTTCATATCAACGAACAGCTCGTGATAATAACAATGATCAATTAAATCAACATGAAAATAATCAACAAAAATCATTAAATACATTGGATAAACGTATTACACGTGTAAGTCCAGCTCCGAGTATTTCAACTTCAAATATAAATAAATATCGTAATCCACTTGCTCCTCATTCATATGATCCAGTTGGTGGTTTTATTATATTTTTTGATTTTATTGTTAATCTTCCTTCAACAATTCAACAATGTCGCCTTATAACATCTATTCATCATCCTAAATCTGGACTTGGTGAACCATCAGAATTAGAACCAGTGAAATGTGAAAAATATACTGAGGGAAAATTTGATGGATCTACGAATGTTGCTTTCATTGCTACTAAACAACCTGTACCAGGGTTAGTTCATTAAAAACTTATCTATGTATTCATTGTTTTATTTTTATGCATCTTTTTAATTGAAGATGTCCACCACAACAAGCATTAACCATTGTTATTGAAGTACAAACATCAACAAATAAACAAGCACCACCTGAGGATTTCGAAACAAAGGCGTGGACAAAATTGGCATTATTTGATAGTAAAAATCGCTTATGTAGTGGTCGATGGAAAGTACCTTTAAAAGCACTACCAGTTCGTCAAGATGATAGTCTTGCTGTTATTAGTAGAGTTCCAACAGTAAAAAATAAATTTAAAATTTTATTTATATATAAAAAAAAAGCTTTATTTTAGTTCGGAGGTGCTGAATTATATTATAGACTAGTGAACTCACAAGATGCAAACGATCAATCTGATGCACCATTGTCACTGAAATATCGAGAAAATTATATTTATCCTGTACAAGTAAGTGTATTAATACTTATAAATAATATTCAATGTTATAATGAAAAGAAAGAAGAAAGAAGTCAACAGCTGATGAAACTAGTCTCCTTACGAGATTTGATTTTTTTTATATATCAAACTCTCATACAATGATGACCGAAAGTGATTTTTGGTGGAATTAGTCCTATAGCACTTGTTTGCACTGGGCCTGGATAGATTGAAGTAGCCCATGACTGTCGCATGTATACTGAACCCGACTGCTGATGATAATCATATTTTCTAATCTATCAATTTAATGATCGGTTAGGCTTGTTTTCTTGTAGTTTGACAGTGCTTTTTGAGCACTATAAAATAATATGAAAATATTGAGAAAAAAAAACACTGACCTCTAAGCAAAACCGTAAAGAATATTTTTCTAGAGACATGATTTTATGCCTTTTGACACTGATATTTAGTAGATTTCAACTAGACTAAGTTTAACATGAGTAAAAACAATATTGTTTTCTTAATCATCATTTAATACTGAATAGATCTATGTGAGTTGCAATTATTTTCATAGACTTGTTTTCGCTAAAAGATTCAGCCCTGTAGTGTCTCTCAGAGATGTTTCATAGTCGCAAATGATTAAACAATAAAAACTGTGTTATTATAGAATTCATTTTTTGACTCACTCCTGAGACGAATCAAGGATGATTTTTTTCAATACAAACAAAATTTCATATAAGTACTTGAGACTTGTATAGTGGTTTCAGTGTACGTGATATGAGACACTGATGAAACTTTGCATAGATGTTCAGCTCCTGAAAAAATATTAATAAACAAATTGCACATTTCCACACCTTACTTTTCCTAGATTGTCAGAGACCACGTTAAAAAATAGGACTCTTACGCAGAGATGTGTTTTTGTCCATATGTTTCAAGCTGCAGAGCTTCAGTTGCTTTCACTTAGAAAAGAACTTCTTACTACTTCGAATGAGGAATATGGTTTTTGTTTTTTTTGTTGTTACCTTATTTCCTTCATTTGAAAGACTATGCATGTATTGATCTTTAAAAAAGAGCATCGTTCTCTCCAATGAATTATATTTCTTTTGTATAATTTTCCTATTATTACTGAAGTTGGAGGTAAAGCATAAATATTTTTATGTCAAGTTGATTACAAGATACAAATATTCATTAGGTTAGCGGCAAGTTCAGTCCCATAAATCCTTCTGTAGAGCCATCTTGAGCAACAACTTTATAAATTTTCCGGAGAGTCCTAGGGCCATCTGATGCCACTATTATGAACATCATGTCAATTTTCTACATATCTATGAAAAACAGATTTACAAACAAAACCCCTTTTATTCTAAAATATAATTGAGAACAAATATACTATATATGTTTATCTTCAAAAAGATTCTATCTCTCTCATAGATAGTGACATACTGATGATGCTTCTTTTATTCGAGAGGCATGAAGCAAAAGAGGAGAGAGATTAAAGAAAAATTCAACAATATAATACATAGCATAAGAACAGGACGAAAGAACAAATTATCTAACGAAAAATGTATGATGGCTGATGATTATGACAGTCATGATGCTTATATCATTTTATAGTGAATAATTTCGCCTTCAGTTCTATGCAAAACGATCGATGATATAACGTATCCAGTAAAGGAGATTGTTGATGCAAAAAAAAGTCAACTCTCTAACTTTTTAAAGGCTATCAGTGCTAAGGTACAACTCATTGAAAGTAACACTATTTCGATTCTTTTTTCAGTTTGAAGATAATAGACAAAATGTTTTTGCGATAATTTATCGCATAATAGAACTCATCAGATATATCAATTAGCTTAATAAACGAGTTTCGGTCAATACTTATCTTACAAAATAATTATCATTCAAAGAAAGAATCGTCTTGAAAGTAGACAAACACATAGTAGAATACGTCAATATCTCATTTTAATCCAAACCTAATGTATAAATTAGAAGTTTTTTTTTCGTTTGTTAGTCAAAATTTTTGAAGTAAACATTAATTTCTTTTTTGAATTTTTATTTAGTATCGAAATTGATCAAAACTACAACAAGTGAATACTATTATTTTTATATTTTTTTCTTTATTATTTATATTTCTTTTCCTTTTAGAATTCATAAAACAATTTCGCCAATTCATAAACCATAACTTCTATATCCAATGTTTCATTTTATCATTGTTATGAACTATTCTGTTCATGTATATAAACAATTTTTTTTTTCAAATTTTTCATAGACTATTATATTTGGGACATTTTTTTAAATGATGAAAATGCAAATGAACAGGCAGTGTAGGTAGAACCACAAAAGTAAACAAGAAAGAAAATCGAAACAGCAATAGTAGTAGAATTAATTATTGAAATTAGGCGACAAGAGAAAAACAAACAGAACACTATTCCAAGAAATAAAACAAACAATCTCCATTTAGTATATTTTATTTTGTATTGTCGTTATTGTTGTTCTAAATCGTTCATACTACTATGCTCATTTAAGTGTAATACACACAAAACATCAAGACAGAAAAAAAAAGAGATTTCCAGGTTTTACAAAGAAGAATACACACATGCACGCACGCACGCACGCACACACACACACACAAAAGATTTAATGTCTATCTGTTTTGTCGTTTAATTACTCGTCAAATTGTTGTTTACCTAAAATAGAGAAATAAATATTAATTATTAAATCTTAATTGAAAACAATTTACATGCATCAATAAACAAAGTATTACAAAGATTAGGAGGAAAGAAAAGAACACGAACGACAAATGAGACAATATCGAGAAACGAAGAGGGAAAGGACGTGGGTTAGTTACTACTTTTAAAAGTAGTAGATGTTGTTGTCGTTGAACAATAATCGTTGAGGATAGATTCGATAGAGGGAGGTATATGAGCACCTCCTAATGAACCGGGATATGAGCGGAATTTTGTTTTAGTATTATGACTGATTAATTGCATATTCGAAAATGATGGTATTGATGATTGTTTTTTAGGATTTGTATTTACAAAAGAAGTTAAATTATTTCTTATTTTTGCTGAACGATCTTGCTGATAATATATCACAGATTGCGTTGGAGATGATGATGAGGATGAACTTGATATTGGTATTGTTAAACATTGTTTATCATTTTGATGTAAATCATGACTAGATACAAAAGAATATTTTTCAAGATTTTCTTCATCATCCATTGAATTTTTATTTGAATTAAATATAACTGTTGTTGCATCTGATTGTGATGATAATGGTTCACTTGATATTGATATTGGTAAACCATCATTTATTGATTCAATTAAATCATCAAGAAGATTTTTAATATCAATATCAATCGAAGAAGATATTTCATTTAATTCTATTGACGATGATACATTTATAATAGGGCGACTACCAGATTTAAAATTTTGTAAATTATTATAATTAAATTCATTAGGAAATGTTGGTAAAACAAATTCACTATGTTTAGAAGAACAAATTTTTAAATCATCACGTTCAGCTTCACTTCCAGCATCATAATCATAATAAGGTGAAAGTTTTTTAGTTGTTGATGAATAAATTTGTTCATGAACATTTTCTTCTTGTTGATTCATGAAATCTACATCTGTTTCAAATGATTTTAAATTAGTACGAAGTATTCCTTCGTGTAAAATTTTAAGAATTAATTTGTCATTTGAATCTTTGGATGGTGACTCAAGACTGTCTTGTCGTTTGAAATTATCATTAAATTCATATTTAAATGGAAGGATCTTTACTCCAGGTGATTCATTTATATTCATTGTATCATTTGAACGTTTTCTTCGTTGTATATTTCGTTTTGGTCCTGCACTACTTTCTTCACCTTCACCTGAATATTTTTCATTTTGATGAATTGATAGTGTAGAATTTTTATTTGTAGATTTTTCATCCGAACTTGAATTATCATATGGAGCTTTTATTTGTGTAGAATTATCAATTGATGATGATATTGTACGAAAATATGTTTCAGTATCCGATTGAGAATTACGACGAATAAGTGATGGAATTCGTGCATTTGGACTTTGAATGATCTCAAAATGTTCGGTATCAGTTTGAGCACGACGTAAGACTTTTCCAAATGATACATGAGGAAAAGTTTTTAAGTTTGATGAATTTGATAATAAGTTTTGTATATTGTCATCATCTTGTTCACAAAGTTCATCATCATTATCAGATGATGTACTACTTGAAGATAATTTATCACTTTTATTACTTGTAGATGTGTCATCTTGTTCGCTAGTCAATTCTGTAATGACATTTTGTAATACTTGATTTACTAAATCATTTGCAACTCTATGATAATCTGCTTCAGTTATTATTTGTTGTTGTTGAGATAGACAAAATGCTAATGGACGTTGACAACTACTAGTTGGTTCTAATGCATCAGAAAAAGCTGATATTGGTATATTATATGATTCTGAATGTTCTGGACTTGATTCTTTTTCAATAACATCATCAAATGGTGTCGAAATACGTTGTTGTTGTTGCATTGATTCTAATGAATTATCTTTCGATATTGTTGTTAAAAATTCACTTGATACTTGATTACTTGTTGATAAATTTTGATGTTTTGAATCATCAGTAATTAATGCTGATTCTGATAATGTACGATGTTGTATTTGTGAATTTGTTAATAATGCACGATGATTATGTTTAATAGCATATTTCATATTATAAAGTTCAGGACTACGAACAAGTTTACTTTTTTCTTCATCATGTAAATCATAAGCTGATTGAAAATGTTGTTGTATTGTTAAAAATTCTTTTTCACTATTATCTATTCGTTGATTATCATTTATATTTGATTGACTAGTTCGTTGTTTAATTTGATCTTCTATTGTCTCATGTACGATTTCTACTTGTTTGTTAATAAATGATTTAACATAATCAAATAAATTTTCTTGATTATTATCTTTATTATCAATTAAATAGGAAGTTGATAAAGAATGACTATCATAAGTATGTATTGATGATGCACTATGAAGACTATTTTCACTAGTTGTTCGTTGAGTAGATGATTGATTTGGTTCAATTTCAGTTGAATGATAATCAAGTGAATCCGTCGAATGTTGATTTATAGAATCTTTACTTCTTATCATTGAATCATGAATAATATTTGTCTGAGATTGCTCTTCAGCTTGAATTAATAATTTATCAAGATTATTTTCATTAGATGATGGATGTTTTTCATGAGTTATACTTAAATCATTGGTTGATTTAAATTCTTCATCATCATCATTAGAATTTGTATGAATAAATGAATCTTCTTGAGTAATTGGAGAATTTTCTATTTTTTCTTGTTCATTTGTTAATTTTTCATAACGTGACATACGTTGAAGGTAATCCAATTGTGCAGCTAATTCTATTGTTCTATCAACTGCATATTCTTCATGGGATATTTCTAAATCATCCGATATGCTTGTTACTGATGATTTATGACATGGTTTAGGATATTCATCGACGATAATTGTTGGAACAGATTTGGCAATTGTCTGAGATACATTTGATGATAACTAAAATTAATGATATATAATTTTGTCTTTTTCTTCTACATTCGTTCATTTATAGAATTAAAAATACTATTCAGAAAGGTATACTGATTCGATAATACAATTTTATGGAATTTGTGAATGAATATCAATTATCAAAAAATTTGACGAGTGAATCTTCCTAACTTGAAAATTCAGACTTCGTGCATAAAATAGACTTTAATGAACTATTAAGAGTCTTTATAGGACAAGGTCACCTAGACCTTTCGTACGTAGTTATGAACATTGAAAAGGAACTTTACCCTATAGCACAACAAATGCAAACGAATCGAATGGCAGCATTTTGACCTGAATTTTTTTCTATAGATAGACGTATTTGTATCTGAAAGGTCCTGGAAATGTCAGCTCAAAAGAATACTCTCGCTTTGAGATATCAAATTTCCTTAAATGTCTCATATTCCACAAAAGATTCGAGAATTTTATATATTTGATAAATTCAATATCTCGTCAAGGAAACATTCTTTTGAACTTACAACTTCAGGTCACAATATTGTCATTTAATTTTGTAGTGCATGAGTACTACAGGCTTAAGTTTCATCAGAACGACTGTAATTCTGTCGGAATTAATATTTATTTCATAAAATAAATGGATTTAAGAAAAAAACAACAATTAGTCATCATGTAGAATTGATCGAAGGTTTGATAGAAACATGGTTCCTATATTCCGCTTCCTACAAACCTCAATATGCAGACAAGTGATTCAATCGTATACAATACCGTACAAGAATAAGGATAACGTTTGAAAAATAAAGATTTATTCCATACAATGGACTCATACATGATCTCACCGACTAGCGATACTTGAATGTCAACATTCACATTTTGGAATTTACCGAAATGTTACGAAAAGATAAAAATCTCAACAGACAGAAGCTTCAAAATAAGGAAAAATTCTAAAGAATTATAGAAAATCTTTAAAATAACTGCTAATTATTCTCGAGTAAGGTTTGATGCTCGAGTACAAAAATTTCACTAAGCATTCGCTCATACCTAATGTTTCTTATCCTTGAATAGATTTGTTAGTTTTTTTCTCAACCTCTCTGTATTATTTCTTCATAATGATAAGAGAATTTTTTTTTGCAACCTTGCAATTAATTGTTGTAGACGGGAATTTAGAAGATGTAAGCTTATTCTCAGTAGACTTTACAAATCAGAAAACGAATGATATTTACTATTCTCGTCTATGAATATTAATATTACAATGGAGATATCTGCGTTGTTAGTTAAAGTCCCCTTAAAAATTGATTTTAGCCTAAGGACATTCAAATCACATGAAATGATCAAGTTATGTTGAGGCTGTAGTGAAGAGGTAATAATAGAATTTTTAGTCCTATACCATGATGTTTTTCACAGATATTCAACTAACAGAAATCAAAAATAGCTCATTTGACAAACCGAAATTCTTTGTGGACCTTCATTCTATAAAGTTAATTTCTTTTTGTTTTTAAAGAGCATATCAGGATGTAGGGCATGACAGAATCATTTACTTTTAAATTCTTACTTTTTAAGTGTAGAAAATTTTCATGTTTTAAAAATGACACTCTAATTATAAAAGTACTTTTTTAAATAATAGCAGCAAAGATTAATTAAAAAACTCGGTTCTGACATGCTCTACATGCTGACGTAGTAGTTCAAACGAAAAAAAGCTATTGGCGACAATGAAGCTTCTTTGAGAGTTCTGAAATATGTGATCAAAAAAAAAAACGGATATGTTTTTCAAGTAGAAGGTTTGATAACACTAAACATATTTGTGTCAAACAATAGCTTTCACCGCTAGACTAACATATTTAAAATATAGGTTTAACTTGATGTACACAGATTAAGATATTGAAATTTTAAGATTCTATCTTCAATAAGATTTACCTCGAATAACATAATAGCTAGTGCTTCTTTAAGAATATTATCAACCAAAACTTTTACAACTTGATTTTCAATTTGTTCTTTTTGTAATTGATCATAAATTTGATCAACACCATTAGTTAATGTTGGTTTTATACTCTCAAAATCTTGTTCATATATTGTTGAATTTAATGATTGTTGTTCTTTTTTATGTGCATTAGGAATAGTTCCATTTGATTGTGAATCACGACGATATTTAACTATATCTTGTGATAATGATTCAATATTTGTTGAGGTAAAGATTTCTTCATGTATACGATTATTTAATTGTTTTGAAACATCGTTTAATTCATTAATTAAACCACCAAGTTCATTAAATGATTTTGATGATATTGGTGATTTATCTATATTTAATGGTTCATCAAGTTTATCTTCAAGTTCTTCTTCAATATGTTCTAATTCAGTAACAAGATTTGTTAATTCATTAATTGATTTTGTTTTAACTACTTGAGGAATAGATATGTCATATGATTGTATTTGATCATTGTCTGATAAACTTGATGATGATGAAGATGATGATGATGATAATGAATGAATATGATCAATTTTATGTTCAAGTGTTTGTAATTCTTGTATAAGATTACCAAGTTCTTGAGTTGATTTTGATGTAATTACATCAGAAACAAATAAATATGGTTGATCAGATATTTGTGGAATTAGTTTCTCATTTTCTTCGTCATCAGATGACGATAAATATTCATCATTATATTCATCATTTTCTTCTTTTATTTCATTATCACTACTTGTACTACTACTACTAATGGATGTTGATTCAATTAAATTAAATTCATTATCATAGTTTCGAATAATATTTTCAATAACATCATTAACAATTTGAACTGCTGCTTGATAATATAAATAATTTTGTTCATATTCAATTAGTTCTGAAATAGCCTCATTTAAAATGTGTTCAACAAGATTATTTGATGTTTCAATAAGAAGATTTTCATATTGTATTTGCTCTTCAAAATATATATCAAGATGTGTAGGACGAAAATTACTTTCTTCAATATCTTCTTCTTCTTGTCTTTCCTCTTCATCATGATAAGATGTTATAGTTTTAGAAATAATATTTGAACGTTGTACATGAGATGTTACTGGTGAATTCGATAATTTTCTATAATCTTCATTATAGAACGGAACCGATTGAAAACCATGTAAATTTTCTTCATTGATATCTTCTTGTTCATTATTAAAAGAATCATTTTCGATTTGTCCGGTACTAATTTCAATCACAGGTGAAGACATTAAAATATTTTCATCGATATTTGATTCCACATGATCAGAAGGATAAGGTTTAATAATTAATTGTTGTTCATAGTCTTCTTTGAATGATGGAGAAGATACAATGATAAATTCAGTATCATTTGATATTGGATTTGATTGATCTTCATTTAGAGGTTTTTCAATAATAATCATATCATTTAAATTTTCTTCTTGTTCAGGCATTTGAGAAGATTCAATAATTTGTTCTTCATGTAATTCTATATATTCTGGCAATGTTGTATCTTGTTCTTCGATTAATATTGAAGGATGTGATAGTGGGAATCTTTCAATGTCATGTGTAATTTCGCATAATTTAGAATGCCGTTTTTCAGTTGTGATAAATGATTCAGCATGAACTTCAACATTAGGTTTTGTTTGTTGAGTTATTATTTTTGTTGGTTTTTTTGACCATGATGCAACAAGCATTAAATCACTCATAATTGCTCGAAGATTATCAATTGATATTGGTGATGATACTGATGATGATAAAGATTCAGCATGTATTAATAATGGACGCTCAATAAACATTGAACGTTGTGGATCACCTTCATAAAAATTTTCAAATGATATATAAGGTTTTTCAGGTATAAGAGTTTTCTTTTTATTTGTATAATCGATTTGTTTTTCTGGTTCTGCATGTTGATATAATGAACGATGTATATCACCTTCATAAAAACTTGAAGCACTTATTCGAGCATCTTCAGGTATTAAACGAGTAGGATTTGTTGGAGAAATTTTTTTTTGTTTTAATATTTTATTCCTTTCAAAAAAGATATCACTTGTTACAACGGGATTTTCTGGTATAAGACGATTATATGTTGTTTTTGATGTGACTAATGGTTTATTTAAAATATCTTTACCATTAGTATTTTTTATGGGTTCGAATTGTGTTATAAGATTTTCTTGTGCTTCAGATTTGAAAATTTTTATTTCTTGAACAATATATTGTAATTCACGAAGATTTTGTTCAAATAATTCAATAAAATTATAATCATCATGTTTAGATGTTTTATTAAAAGAATTTTCTAATTCATCTAATTCATATTCAATACGTAATTCATCTTGTTTAGTTAAATGAATATAATGAAGAAGTAATTTTAAATCATTTAATTTCATATGAAGATTATTTAAAATAGTTAATGTGAATTTATTATGTTTTAAATAATCAATAATTGAATAAATTTCATCAATTTTATCATCAAATTTTTCAAATTGATCATTATCTTGATGCAATGATGATGAATGTATTTTTTTCATTTCTCCTAATTGTGCATGTGGAACGGTTGTTGAACTTACATTTTCTTCGGATATTAAATCATTAGGTTTATTTTCTTCGTCAATATTTGTTGGTGTTTTGGGAATTAAAGATGAAAGAGTTTCTTCATTTAATTTTTCTTTAAAAATTTCTTCATCATCTGAATTATAATTATCTATATGAAATGCATCCGGTAGTTTAATAGCAGCACGTTTCATAACTGGTGATGAGAATTTCTTTAAACGTTTTTCTACTTCGGAATCATCTATTTGTTGTGCAATCCAAAAAGAATTTACTGCTTTAACAAGTATATATGGACTTTTAGGTGATTCAGCATCATAATGTATTTCAATTAATTCTGGCAATTTTTCTGTAATTGGTGATGTTTGAATAGACAAAGAATGTTGAAGAATATTTGTTTTATATTTATCAATCGGTGATGTTGTACTATCTGTTTTATGATTCGATTCAAAGTGTCCTTTAAGTGATTCAAGTATTGTACCTGTTACAGCTGTAACACCTTCATTAACAGCTAAACGTGAACGAAATACAGATAATTCATGTTCAGTAGTTAGTAATTCTGATTGTAATAATGGAGATTCTTTTTCAATAAGATTTGTTATATTTTGTTCAAATGTTAATTTATCTGGTAATGGTAAACGACGTTGATGTATTGGTGACTGTAAATTAATATTTGAATCTTTTTTTTCTTGTTGATTATTATTTATTGGATTATCTTCGTTTAGATTTGTTATTGTTGATGAAATATTATTAAAATTTTGAAATGTTATATTGGAAGTTTTATTTGGCATGTTCGATGAAAATTTAGATGATGTTTTAGTAGTGATATGAAAAGGAAAAGAAGGAAAAGTAGTAGAGGAAGAAGCAGAAGAAACAGAGATTAATAATGATAATGATTCTGATGCTGATGATAATGATGATAACGGCGATTCTTCTACTTTGCTGGCAAGCGTAGCTGTAAACAATAGAAAACAAGGAAAAAAAACGATATGTAGTAGTTTAGCAATCACTTCATTTCTTTTAGTTCTTCTATTTCTCTTTTAATGGATTAGATTGGAACAGAACGCGAGCAAAAAAAAAACAACAGAGAGAAATCTAGCTAACACACAGAAATGTCACTCTTTTTTTTTTTAAGGAAAAAAAAAGAATAGCAAAAAAAGGAAAAAGAACAGATATATATATAGAAAAAAAAAACGAGAGAATTTCTTCCCGAGCAGGATTCTGTGTGTGATACGGTTCGCGCATTTGTGGAATGGAGAAAAAAAAAAAAGAAACGAGGGAAAACGGCCATTTGCCATCATGCAAGCATATATAAGCAAACGAAGGGAAATAGGTGTAATAATAGAAAAAGAAAATGCGAAGCTAGTCACTAAGACAAGCGTTCAAAAGGAAAAGTCTTTTGTCTTTGTTCATATTTTATTTTCTTTTACTTTGATTATCGTTCACTACGCCTTTTCTTTTTCTATTGTTTACACATATTCAATAGTTGTAAGTCAATGGTGATAAAACAAAAAGAAGATGAAGAAGAAGAAGAAGAAGAAGAGGAGGAAAATTACGATATATAAAGAAAAACAAAAAAATGTTAAGAAATACAACAACAATAGGACAACAAACATGCAAAGAGAACAACAGCAGTTGCTTTTTTTTTAACCGTATCACACACATACTTCCTTAGAGAATATATGTTTAACATTAATATATATACACAAACATAATGCAATATATATGTATTCGCGCATATAAAAAGTTTATTTTGTTTAGCTACATGCGGTGTTTAGTTTTATTAATTCTAATAATCCCATTCTCAAAAACCATGCTTTATCTTTGCTTACATTATTGATTTCTCGATTCATTTTGAGCTAGAAAAATGATTTATTAAATTTTTATTTTTAATTTATTTATTTTATATTTAAGGTTTTTCTTTTCGTAATCTCAATTCTATGAGATAATTAAAATTTTATTTTATGGATTTTTACCTTCTCTATCAAATGATGATTGAACATTTGTTGTTCCGAAATTATCTAAAACAATAAACAAAAGAATATTGTCATATTCATAACATATTTTAATATAAACTCTTAAGTATCATTCAACATGCGCACACTTCATACGCAAACCTTGATGATGAAGACTCTGATTGTATTGAGCAAGAACTTCAGTAAGAAATGTCATATCGCATTCATCAATCGGTTCGCTATTATCTTCAATTATTTCAATTTTAGGCGTCGAAGCTATGTTATATAGATAAAATGAATTAAGACAAAAACAAAGACATTTTTTTTTTTTGTAAAGCAAAAACTTGGTTTTGTCATGCCGAATTGAAGTGAATAAGGAAGAGAAAAAAACAAGGAAGGTTAATAACATGCCAGGTACATATATATATATATGAATATATTCGTGCTTGGTATAATTTGTATGCGATAGATTCTACCTTGAGGTGAATTTTCACTATCAAATGATTCAACAAGTTCTTCATCACTTATATCAGAACCTAAATGTTGTGGTGTTGTTGTACCACCTGTATTAAATGTACTAACTGCTGATACATATGTTGGACTTGTTGCTGATGATGATAATGATAATGATGGAAAATTATCAAAACTTTGATAGATTGTTGTCATTGATGACGATGCTGTTGATGACATGGTTTCTGATGATGAAGGAATAATTGATGGTAAGATTTGTGTTTGTTGATTATCATAATTTAAACTTCCGTTCGAACCACGTAAATTATCATAATCAGATAGAAACGAACAAATTGATGTTGTATTACCAACATTTTGTGGTAAAAATATTGTATTATCGTGTGTTGTTGGATCATTTGAATCAACAGTATCTGGTTTACTATTAGTTTGTAATACATTTGTATGATTAGAAGTTTTATTACTATTAGAGATTAATGTTGATGTGTTATTTAATTCCTCGTTAGTATTAGTAATTGTTGTTGTTGATGAAAGGATAGACGTTGATGGACTCGTGACTGTGACTGAAGTTGTGAATAAAGGTGTTGGTTTTGTTGTAACAATATCAAGTAATGGCAAATTTGTTTTAGTAGGATTAGACGAAGAACTCAACGAAACAAACACAAGTGGACGTGATGTAGTCTGAGTGGGTAATATGTGAGTTGTAATTTTAGAATGAAAAACTGATGGTGTATTATCACAAAATTTTTTATTTGTTTGTTCTTGTTTCAATTGTGAAAGTTTATCAAATAAAATTTGTTGGTTATTATTTATAGTTGAATCAACATTTGTTACTTTTGTTTGTTTTTCAACTTCTTGTAAAATATTTTCTGTTACTTCTTTGGCCAATTGACTTATTTCAATTGGAATGATTTCATTTATTGATTTCTCTAAACTATTCGATTGTTTAGTAGACAATGAAAATGATTTGATTGTCATTGGTTTATCTATATTATTATCAAAAGATTTTGTTATTAATGGAAGATCAGTATTTATTGCAATAGATATTGGTTGAACAGAAAATGTGTCAATATTTTTTAAACTATCCGATACTTTACAATTAATTGATTGATTTGGATTTAATAATGATTGTCGTAAAATATTTGTATCATTATTATTTTGCTGTTGTATATTATCAAATGTATCAACAATATTTAAAACTTTTTTAACAACATCATTTGTTTCTTGTATTACATTATCATCAATGTCATTTTTATATAAAGAAAAATGTCTTGGTGGTTTTGCTGGTGGTGGTGAACTAACTTCAATAGATGATGATGAACCTGATTCATCACTTAAACGTGGTGGTTTAATTGGTGATATTAATGTAATTGCACTTGTTGATTCATTTGAATCAATCGATATTTCATTTAATTGTTGATCATGATTTTCAATAAGTATTGATGATGGTTGAGATAATGAATGAACAATAGGTGGATGAGAACGAGTTATATGTTGTTCAGGTAGATTTCCATCAAAAGATTTTTTCTTTATTATCGTTTTTTTTAATGGTCTAACAACAGCATGTTTAAGTGCATTAGCTAATGCACGTGCTGGTTCGGGTATTATTTTCGACTTTATTAAACGTTCACTTACAGGTGGTTGATTAGCACGTATAGGTGCTGGAAAAGAATGAGATTTGAAAAAAAAAAAACAAAAACAAAAATCTAAAGGATTCATTTTTACTTTACTTACGTATATCATCTAGTGTTTGAACAGTTTGTTCAACTAATTGTTGTGTAGGTGTTGGTTTTTCATTTATATCTGATTGAATTAATGTTAGATTTGGTTGATTATCAGGTAATGTTGGTGTTACTTCTTGAACAATATTAACAATACCAAAATCACCTAATTTTGTTGAAGATTTTTTTGATGGAAATTCTAAAATAATATTTTATTTGTTTAATTTTCATTTTTCGAATTTTATGTTTGTATGATTATTTTTTTTTTTTGTATTTTACTTAAAATTCGTCGTTTATTTTTTTTGCATAAACCACAACATAATGTTCGATTTCCGCTCAAACAGAGTAATGGCATCTCTAATCGATTAGTATTCTGATGCCTAATTATAGAGCACTCGGTCGAAGCATACGAATCTCTTTTCTTTTATGCCAGATGCGCATTCATATCAAGCATTTGCTTGTATATATATATCAGCAATATATTACAGGAGAAAACAAGTCCGACTCTTTCTCTATCTATATTTTTTTTTTTCTTTTCTTTTTATTTGATAGAAAAGAATATTGGCAAGATGATGAGAGATAGATAAAGCAAAGATTTCCCTTTTGCTCTTATAACTAATAAAAACAATGACGTGCATTCATATTCACCTTGTAAATGAATGGCAAACATATATAGATTGATAATCGACGGAAATAATAAGATGAAGATGGATTATATATATATATATATGAATAATTATTTTATTTATAGAAATCAGATACGTGACCTAGTCTTTTTTTCTATTCGATGACTTAGAAGAAATAACAATTGTATGTTTTTACTTATAAACAGTATTTTCGCTTTTAAGGAATAGTCATAAAAAAAAAAGAAGATTTTTATCGATTCTGTTAATCATAAACAACAATAACATTAAATTTGTAACGAAAAAAGAGAAACCTAATCAATATACGATATATGACATATAATTTAATCATCTAGAATTTTCAAATTCTGCTTGAATAATTTATATCTATTTTATAACTATCATCTATTGATATATTTGAAAACAAATATGTGTATCTTTTTTGTTTTTGACATTCCGTTCTTTATTAGCAACTAACATGAAATATTTTATGACAAGAAATACATAGATACATAAGAGAATTCTTATTATAAATAATAGTAACTAAGAATTAATAGAAAGAAACGATAATTCACTATAATCATAAATAAAAAACTTTTTAATAATATTTTCTAACATTTTAATTTTATTTAATGTTCATATATATGCCATGAATGTAAAATGTCTTTTAACGTTCCATTAAAATATTTAATTATTATCGTTAATTGTCGCTTCTTCTCATCTATACAATGGCAATCATTATGTCGAACAGAAAAATGCTTTTCCTTTTGACCTTTATTAGTAAGAAAGAGAAACTAACTAATACGCCTACAATTACAAATAATTTTCAGTATAATTCTTTTAACTATGAACGACAATGACATTAGATCATAAATTAAACAAATAACATACCCGAACTAGCTTTTGGCGTTATTCGTCCTTCATCCATATCTGTACTTCGTTGCTTCGATAATGTACCATATGGATCATCGAGATCAGCTAAACCAAAAAAAAAAACAATTCAATATTATATATTGATCACAATAAACACAAAGTATAAGAACACAGCAAAAATAAATGAGAAAAAAAAAAGACCATAACATGCTTCAAATTCAAGGGACATCAATCATACAGGAAGAACATCAAAGAACCTTTATCACGTGATAATCTATTTAATTTTTCTCTTAGACTTTCAAGATGCATCATTTCAAATGGATGAGATTGATAATTTAATGGTGTTATTGATCCTGAATAATTCTGAGGATGATATATTGAATAATAACCACCATAACGTGATGCAGGTGTAGGTGCTTTACTTGAATCAACAAAATGTAAAGGACCATCACGTTCACCTTTAAAACATAAATTAACAACAACAATCATATTAACGAACAATTTTTAAAGACAATAAAAACTAATAACAATATTTAATAGAAGCAAACAACAACAATATTAAACGAAACATTTATTATTATTTATGAACCTAAACTTTTTCTCATGGCAACAGTAACAATTGTATCTGCACTTGATGTTGATGATGATGAAGGAATAAAATCTTTGGAATGATCACGTTTAACCATTTTAAGTGGTTCTAATTGTTTAAATTGTGAAACTATTTTTTCATTGCTTGATTTTTTTCCTCCTAAGTCATCTTCACCTATTTCTTCAAATGTTATCGTTTTTATAATTGTTGTTGTTGTTGGTATTCGATTAGTATCATCAGTTAAGAAATCTTTAGTTTTATTATAATGATTTTTTAATGTAAGAAATCATTTATCAATAAGAAATTTATTTACTTACTAGATTTTCCAAGTCGACGACGTTCATATTCATCATCACTTTCAAAACCTTCATCTAACTATTTTTTTATACAAACAAAAACAAACCAATTAGATATAACAAATAAGGAAATAAAAAATATACTCGTCGTCCACTAATTGCTGTACCATCAACACTACCACCTCGACTATTGAGACGTGCTTTAGCTAATTCTTTTTCTGCTGCATCAGTAACCCATTCAATATTAAATACACAATTATGAACAATATTTTCTTTTCCAATTTTACGTAAGGCTTGTTGAAGACAATTTCCTAGACAACAAAAAAACAAATAATAATAATAGTAATTACACATATTATGACATTGTCTGAAAAAGATCTTTTTTTTCGAAATGACATGTCTCATTAAGAGTTGAAACTGTCCTCAAGATCCATATGTCTAACTTTCTACCCATTTTTTATAGTTTCATGGAAATATTTCGATACCAATCGAACTTTGAAACATCATTTGCTTTTCTTTGCCAGAAAGGAAACAGATAATATCATTGCAAGATGAATAGCATTTGGGAAAGTAAGATTCAACTGACAGGTCGTCTGTTGAGGGAAGTGCTGATTCACTAGAGGTCTCGTTCTTTCATGCCTTCCGTCATTACTTTTAGCACTCTGAGGATAAAAGTACTTCCTGCCGATTCTTTTAAAAAGACCGAGCTCACGACTCTCTATCGATAGACGAAAGAAAATAAACAGGAAGAAATACTAGAAAAACAAATGAATAGTAATTTAATATTAATATGAGGTGCTACTTTTTCGCTTGAAGTAATCAATCAATAGTTGATTTTTTTTTTATGAAATTTAAATTTTTAGTCAGTATCTCAATGTATCGTCAGGATAGGAGCCTCTAAAAAGATTGATCTGGAATTTTGCCTTGTCTACTGCACATTATAAGCAAAAGTGCAAAAAAATAAGAACGATTTGTCTATTCAACCATAATTTTTCATGTACAACATTAAATGTTGAATATTTATTTCTCCATTATACAAATTTTCTTGAGTCTTATGACAGAAGTTTCCCAACGGATTAATCGCTTTTGAGTCGAACCTACGCATATTATGTAAATACAAAGGAACTATAAATATTCCGAAAAAAAAATTCAGATCGTTAGCTTATCAATGCCAAGATACTGCATTTTTAAATAAATGCCATGATATAGAAAAACTGATTTTTCAATTTCCATTTCAAACTTTGTACAGAAACAATTCTTAACGAACAATTTTTCAGATCTTATCATTATTCCTATCATAAGATATATCTATCGTAATAGCGTATTTTTGACATTGATGATATAAACCAACTGATTCGATGTTCTTATTTCCGAAATGAAACAAATCAAAAGCATTGAAACTTTCTCAATAAGTTACTCTTCTTGCTAAGTCCATGTCTCTGTACATAGTTATAAGTCAAAATTTGAAAAAAGAATTTTCTTGTATTCAAAGTTCATTTGATTTTACATAATACTGCATATAATCCCGACTCAACAGCAATTAAAAAATTAAAAGACATTCATGGTCAATATTAATAAACTTTTCTTTTATCGATTATCATAACAAATCATCGTTTCATCTGAACAAAATTTAAAATTTTCGATAGACAAAATCTTTTGTTCTTATTACCTGTTGCTTCATTTCCTCGTGATTTAAGCCAATAACGTAACATTTGTAATGAAGCATTTTCTCCAAATTCATCCATAATTTTTGTAACTTCTTCTTCACTTAATTCAAGTTCAGCAGCAAGTGCTGGCCAATCACTTCCAAGTAATCGTGCAATATCAGTTAAACGTATTTCACCTTTTCGATACATATCGTCCGATTTCCAACCTAAATATGACACAAAAACAAAAAATAACACATATAATTTTTTTTCTTACTTTCAGAATGACGATCACGTTCAATAGAATGTAAAGCTCGAAGACGTTCTTCATTCTAAATCGAAATCAATATTTAAATTACCTTTGAAAAGTGAAATAAACACGAAATTCTACCTCAAGCAAATCCTAAAACAAAACAAAAAAATAAATGATATATATATATATATATTATTTTACTTTATCATAAGCTGGTATAATAATATTTAAATTACAAATTGTTTGTAATGTTTGTGGATCAATAATTGTTGTTGATGATAATGATGATGGTTGTCCATTAGTCATTGTAATTGATGTTGTTCGTTGTATAGATGTTAATTTACCATTATCTTTTGAAAAAATTAAACGTCCTGATGGTTCTTGTTCTTGATCACGAATACGAACAACACATGGTAAACGATTTTCTTTAAATGCTCGAAATAGTAATGTTAATTGTTCATTTGTTTTAATAATTGTTTGTAAATTATTTGATTGTAAATCAATATATATTGAATTACCATTAACAACTTCAACTTCTTTTGATTTTGCAATTTCAGTAAAATGTTCTTGCATTTCAAGTGTTTTATTTTCTTTATCATCTGTTATACAAAATAAACGAACAAGTGCTTCATTAATATCATGTCGTTTAGCAAATACAATAAAACGTGACATATATGGAACTGATATAGCTTCACGATAGATTTCATGTGCTAATTTTAATACATCTGGTACACCTTGAGCATCGATTAACCAAAATCTTTATACAAAAAAAAAAAAAAAAACAAACAAAGGATATTTTGATATGAAAAATAAAATGATTTTCTTTTTACCGAGCTGAAACTGTTGTTGTAAATGTAGCACAATCATTTGAAAATGTTAATGGTGTATGTCCTGTAATATCATCAAATTGAGCAGAATGTGTACCACCAGTTATACTACATAATAAACGTAATGTTTGAGAATCACTTGTATATGCATTTGCATGTTGTTGTTGATGAGAATGTTTTCTTGTTGTTGGTGATTTATTTGGTAATGGAATTGTTAATGTTATTGGTTTATGAAATTTACGACGACGTGGTTCAACTGTTATAACAGGACTTACATTAACACGTGAACCATATGAACGTTGAACTAATTGAGATGATATTGGTAAAACATGTAGTGATATACGAATACGTTTTTGTAAGGCTTTTTCTGGTATATGTGCTTGAACAGTTGGTATTATTGATGATATTAATAAACCACCTTGTTCATCAATAAAATGTGCTTCTTGACGAATACGTGTTATTAATGCAAAAAAACGAGGAAAATCATTTGTTACTATACGTGTTATTCGACGTGAATGAAGTTCTTCAGCATTATCCAAATCTGTAAAAACAAAAAAAAAGAAGATCATGATAAAAAAAATTTATATTTTTGATTAATAGAAAAATTTTACCTTCAGAATCAACAATATCACCAAGTACTTCACGTACTGCTTCATCTGTTGTTGGACCTGTATGTTCAGTCCATTTTTCACCATTGTCACTTCGTAAAACAACAATTTCACGTTCACGATTACGTAATGAAGCAAAATGTGGGATTTCAAGAATAACAGATCTAAAATAAATTATTGATTTAATACAATATATATATATAAACAATTTACTATTTCTGAATTATCAAACTTAATTTCTAATAAAGTCTTCAAATCTACATAGAATAGACCACAGACTTTCTCAATCCGATTCAATCATAAGTCTCTATTCAAATATATTTTTTTCTCAAAATTAATTATGTTTTATTTTTAGACAAAAATTACGAAGTTTTCAATCTTTCAACTTTACTCGAGAATACAAATGTGTGGAGTCAAATTCTTTTTTCGGTTTGAATGCCGATAATTTCTTTTCCAGGGGTCTCAATCTAGAGCAAACTATTTCAGAATTTATTCATAGGGTACTGCTAGCATTTTTTTTTGTTGGATTATCTCTCTTGCAATATATTCTGATTGATATGATTCACTTAAAATTATAAAATTTAAAATTATAACCTTGGATTTCGATTCGGACAATTTTTTTGCTCGTAGTTCCCGATCCCGCAGATCTCTACTCAAGAGTTAGTGAAACTTCTTATTTAACACTTTTGAAAAAAAAATTGAAATTGATTAAAAGTAGGTGTCTTACCCAAGAAATTTACAAGCAACAGGTCCAACTTCCAAAACACGTGCTGCTAATGCTTCACCTTCATTTAATGGTGGTGGTATCGTTAATTTCTCACGTTTAACAAATCGACATGTTATTCTCGTTGGCATACTAGCACGTTTAGGTGGAATTATAACTCGTACACCTGAATGTCGACAACCACGCATTGCACCACCACGAGCATCGACCAAAAAGCTTACCAAAAACCTATATATAGATATAAACAATTACAAATATACATTTATATATGAAGAAAAATAAATAAATTAATTTATCTAAGAAGATTTATCTAATAAGCTAACTAAACATGCAAGCACTTACGATCGATACTGAAAACGATCCCTAGAAAAATATGTATAAAATAAATCAATACACTGCACACACATGGCAACAAAACAACCATATATAAGCTTTTAATAAGTAAAAAAAACACTTCAGCAAAAAAAAAGACGTACCCTCCATGACGTGGTTTTGTAATAGTTTCATTATCAGCAACAAATGTTTGTGGTGCTATTGTTGGTGTTGGTTGATCATGTAAATTATCTCGACTTTCAGTCCAATGATCTTTTGCTGCTAACATTGGATATTCTGTCTCTTCCTAACAAAAAAAAACAAATATTATATAACAAAAATTAAAATCTTCATATAAATATTTATACTTTAATAAATGATGTTTGATTAAGTTTATTTTCTTCTGCTTCAGTCATTAAAACACCTTCACGTAAATATTGCATATGAACATTTGAACTTGCATCACCAAGCATATCTAAATATCAATAGATAATCAATGCATATATGTATATATTATATATATATATAAACAAATCCATATGCTATGATATTAATATTAGTCATGCGCGCGCATCCCAAGGGTAAAAAACATAATCATGTTGTTTTTTTTTTATATACATTCTTTAACAGGCAAATAGGGAAATACAGACTTATGACTACCTTTAGTCGTTTTTTTATGTACTTTAACATTGTTAGTAGTATTTGTCGATACGAAATATCCAATTTCCGGATAAATTACTTCAATATTATCTTCAGCTAGAGAAGCTGACGATAAATTTTTTGTTTTTTCTATTAAATCTTTCTTATTTATCTTAGAAAATTTACCTGTTTCATCTTCAGAATCAGTTAATGGATGTTCTTCATGTGAAACTTCTGGTGCTTGAATCTAAAATTTAAATTACGAATAAAAATTAAAAAAAAGAAAAGATTTCTTTTTAATTTAATTAACCTTATAACGTTCTTCAGTTATTAATTCATGTTTACTAGCTATTGTTGTTTCAGTAACAACTTTAAGTTCTTCAACAACAGATATATAACCAAGACGTTGAGCAATTGATAAAGCTGTCATTCCATGCTATAAGATTTTTGTTTTTCAAAAAAAATAAAAATATAACACATTAATATTCTCAAATTTTTACTTTATTTGTTTTATTTGGAGATGCACCATATTCAAGTAATAATTTAACAATCATAACATGACCTTGTTGAGCAGCTGAATGAAGTGGTGTAAACAAAAGCTTAACAAAACAAAAAGGAAAATTAAAATTTTGAATAATGAAAAAAATTAATTAATTAAAATAGTCTTACATTTGTTTCAATATTAACATTGGCACCAACTTTAAGTAAATAACGAACCATATTGATTTGACCAAAATGACAAGCAACATGTAAGCTTGTATAACCACTCTAAAAAAAAAAAAAAGATCATCGAAAGATTTTATTTTATTTTGAATAAAAATGAACAAAATCATATTCATATGAAATTTGTATTTCTTATTTACAATATTAAATTTTCTTGTAAACTTTTATGGCCTTCTAATATTTTCTATTTATTTTAGTTATGTTTACAGATGGAAAGCTGCGCTTACCGTCAACATGTTTCCTGTTCTATTTTTTTACAAAATCGTATGGCAGCTTCAAGTTTTAAATTTAAAGAATCGTTCTCTTGTTCGATTGAAGTTTTTCATTTTTTATGTTCGACATATAGATTTAAGTACTCTATATTTATGGAGCGCGTTTTAAGAAGATAGAACCAGCTTTTTGCAAGTAAAAAAAAACTCTATCTTATACGAAAAATGCCAAAAGCGGAACTTTTCTTACAATTTGCTCAAAATCATGTTTTCAAACAAAATATTTCAGCCTCCATTACTTTTTCAGACACAATGCGATCGATCGGATTCAAACTTTTTTAAGATCATTTTCATCATATTAGGATGCATGTTTTTTCTTCCTCTTAAAAATATTGTACACCCATAAAGTTAAACCGACTTTACAAAATCAGCACCATCCGAAGAAAAGCTTTTTTAATGGTTTTTCAATAGTGTCTACAGTATTTTGTTTCATCTGAGCTTCAAGAAAAATACTTTTCAGAGTAAAAAAAAACACGTATCCAGCTTTGTTTCTAGTTGTCACAGAAAAGATTGCACTCCTATAAAACATAGTGTGGACATTTGCGAGAGGGGTGAAACTTCAGGTCATTTTTTAAAGCTTTTGATCTCCCGAAAGAGAGCATTAGGAAGTTTGATGTCTATAATAGCTTTTACTCTACTCATCGAGATCTATCTAACCTGAAAGTTTCAACAATTTTTACCAAGTCGTTTTTGAAAAAACTCACAAAAGGAGAAGAGATTTTCTTAAGAGTAGTTACGAGAGTTGGACAATACTCAAGTTCTCGGATATTTACTCATTTTGAAACTAATTATTTCATCTTATACCGATGTCTATCTACAAGGATTGACTTTTCTTATGAAAGTTGCTGGTAGTCATCATATTCAATCAATATATTTCAAAATTCAAAATATTCGATGAACGACAACAAGAGTTCAATACTCCAACGTAAACTTTGGATTCATTTACAAGGAGAAAAAGTAGACGAAACACTTATGATAAAAGCCCTGCCTTGTACTCAATGAAAATGAATATTTCTACTAAATATAGGGTGTATCACTTAATGTAAAGACGCTCGTTTGTATCATTTTGTTCTTTAAAAATGTCCTTCACTGCATATAACAACATGGCTGTCATATCATGTCACGCCCACGCAAAATAAAATAGAAAAGTATCATAAATTGTTTGGAAAACAACGTCCTCGAGAGAAATCAGTACATATCGAATAAGCTCAGTGTTCTTCGATTCTTTCGTCAAGTTTAACGATTAGACCAAATGTACTCGTATGATGTTATAGAGAGTTGAAACCGTAAATCGTTTGAACCTATGTTTAGATTTCTATCATTCATTGGATTTTTAAAAAGTCATGACTTTCTATGATGCTTTATGAAATTTTTCCTTATGAATGACCTTGTAAGTAAGATAAGCTTTTATTGTTAGAAGTATTTACTTACAAGTGTCTGTGCATTAATGTCAGCATTTTTATTGACTAATGCTTCAGCACATTTAACTCGATCTTCTTGTGCACATAAATGTAATGGTGTTAAATGACATTTTGATGCTATGTTTGGATCAGCATGATTAGCTAAAAGAAGATAAGTCATATCAGAATGACCATCTTGACAGCTTAAATGTAATGGTGTAAAACCACCCGTTGATTGAGCATTTGTATTAGCATTATATTCTAATAACATTTCAGCAATATCAAGTGCATTTTTCTTGGCAGCTATATGTAATGGTGTATAACCATTACGTGCTGTTACATGTGGACTAGCACCATGTTGTAATAAAAGAAGTGCAATATTACTATGATTATAATGAACAGCACAATGTAATGGTGTTAAATCATTCTAAATTATCAAAAAAGAAAATTTTTCAAAATAAAATATATAAATTTAATAATAACGTACTTTGCCTTGAATATCAGGTGTAGCTCCTTTTTGTAAAAGAAGATTAGCAACTTTAATATTACCATATTTACTACAGATATGTAATGCTGAAAAATTTCTCTACAAAAAAAAAATTTTTTTTTATTTTTTGAAAAATAACAAAATTAAATTTTTACTTTAGTAAATAAATTTAAATTAGCTCCATGATCAATTAATAAACTAGCTATTTCTTCATGTCCTTCTTTAGCAGCAATATGTAAACTTGAATATCCATCTTTTGTTTCACTATCAACAAATGCATTAGCTTTTAATAATAAATTAACTATTTCAATATTTCCCAAACGTGTTGCTAAATGTAAACACGTTTGTGCTTCTTTGGCTTTAGCATCAACTGTTGCACCATAATGAAGTAATGTTTGAACAATATCAACTTGATTATTACGTGTTGCTAAATGTAATGGTGTTTCACCACGAATTGTTGTTGCATCAATATTAGCTTCATGTTGTAATAAATAAACAACAATATCATGACTACCAACAAATGCTGCAACATGTAAACTAGTTAAACCTGATTCTGTTCGAGCTTCAATATCAGCATCATTAGCTATTAATAATTCAACTAATTTTAAACGATTTTTTTTACATGCTATATGTAAACATGAAAAACCATTTAATGCTTTAGCATTAACATCAGCACGACGTTCACATAGAAGTTTAGCAACATTATAATTTCCACAATGTGATGCAACATGTAAAGCCGAAAGATAATCCTTTAAAAAAAAAAATAGACTAAATAGAAGAATTTTTTTTTCATTAAAAAATTAACGAACCGAACTAACGTCATCGACCAATGTCGATTTATAATAAAGTAAAATACGTGCAGCATCAACATGATCACCTTGTGCGGCTAAAATATAAATTCTATTGATTTAAAGAAAAAAAACAATTATGATGATTATATTGATTTACCCATATGAAGTGCTGAGAGACCATTTTTAGTTTTTGCACCAAATGGGGCACCACTTTCAAGTAATAAATCAACTACTTGATCATGACCTGATCGTGCAGCACAATGAAGTGGTGCTAATATAATACAAAAACAAAAATAAACATTCTCCATTAAAAGACAATTATCAAACTTACTAAGGCCATCTTTTGTTTTAGCATCAATTTGTGCACCTTTTTCAAGTAGCAATTTGACAATATTTTCTTTGCCCCATTTCGATGCTACATGTAATGGTGTTATATTTTGCTAGAAAATATAATCAATGAATTAATAAACTAGCACAAATTATATAAAAATTTCTGTGCTTCAAATTATCAATCTAGATGAAATTTTTACTTCGAATCTCACAATAACAATAGAACTTGATCTATGCAGTTTCCAAGAATTCCACTCGTAACATCAAAAAGCAAAAAAAAAAAAGATATCAGTTCATTTATTATAAATACAGAACCTCTTTCTTAAGAATATGATCTAAATCATCGCATATAACTTGTAGAGCCCATTCGGTTGGTTTCAGACATGACAAGCTCTAGCTGTTCAAGAAGAGCTATGTAGAGTACGCTGGTCACTCAATAATAAAAAAAAATCAGAAAAAAAGTATAGTCCTATTTTTGTGAAATCTATCCGAAATCGACAAGAACATTTCATTGCAAATATCATAATACGAGTCGATCGGATTCGAATTTCAGAAACATTCCACAAACTGAGTCCAGGTCCAAAAATTTTGAATTCGTCGAGTTCTAGTAACTAAGTATAACTCGATAGAAATTGCCGAATCCCCACTTGTCATCGTTTCTTTTCAACAGACGCTACCAAAGAAACAATTAGATTTATCGATAGCTATCAACAGGAAGAGCAAAGTGTAGAAGTTTTTATTTCATTTATCTTTGCGTCGATTCCTCTATATTTAAATCGCTTATTACGATTCAATAGAAACAAAGCAATCGAACAAAATTAGACTACAATATAACATCTATTTAAATGTTTCCTTACACTGGCAGCATAATTGACATCAGCACCACGAGTAATTAATAATTGTGCCACTTCCAAATTTCCATAGTGAGCTGCGATATGTAATGGAGTAAATCCGGACTAATAAAAAAGAAAAAAAAAACAAACAAATAAACACCATTGTTGATTAATCATTTATTATAAATCTTTTTTTTTTTTGTAAATGCATGCAAAATCAACTACTCCGGATGGATTCTTTTTTTTTTTTTTTTTTTGAAACAATGATCTGATATTTCTAACTATTGAAATTAGTAATGAGTTAGTTAAACATTTATAAAAATGAATATAATGATGCTTACTCTGCCAAGCTGAAAAGAAGAAAAATAAGAGAGAATATTAAGAAAAAAAAAAAAAGACAGAACAAAAACTGAGACGAAAAATAACAACAAAAATGGGAATCACCATTAGCAAACAACAATAATAAAAGACGCAAAAAGACACCATAGCAATATTCATAAACAAACCTTAGTTGTACAATTGACAAATCCTCCTTCCTAATTATCTCTGAATTTGTTCACACAAATTTTATTTATTAATATTTATATATACCTTATAGTTAAGATCCGGTTGACTTTCACCTTGTAAAAGTAAGGCAGCAGCTTTAGTATCATTTTTCTTTGCGGCAATATGTAATGCTGGTAGACGTACTTTTGAACCTTTTGAATCATTTTCTAAAAGAATAGCTACTACTTTATCATGGCCTTGTTGAAGACTAACAGCCAAAGGTGTAAAACCATCCTTTAAATACAAACATTATTCATTTAAAAATAAATAAATAAATGAAGCAAGAAAAAAAAAAAAACAAGATTTACCTCTGTAGCTAAACTTTGATTAGCGCCATTAGCGAGCAGAAATTTGACTACTTCGATATGATTCTCCTCTACAATTAATCAAATACATCAAACCATTAATCATATTTATCTTTCAGCAATACATACGTGCAGCCATATACAAAGGAGAGAAACCATTTTGAGATTGACAATTAATATTAGCATTGTATTTAACTAAAAGTTTGACAACTTCTTCCTGTCCAGCCAATGATGCAATATGGAGAGCAGTATTGCCTTTCTAGAAAAAAAGAAAATCATATGATTAATAGATTCTCATTTTCTTTTTGATATATCCAGAACCTTTGTCGCTGCATTAACATTGGCACCACGTGAAAGAAGCTCTTGAACAATATTTACATGACCCTCTCTAGAAACAGAAATACAATATATATTTAATAGAAAACTATTTCCAATAGAATATATACTTTGATGCTAAATGTAATGCATTTAATCCATTCTAAAATAATAAAAATCTTTTATTTTTACTATTTTCTTTTCAATCAATAGTACACATACAGCATTGCTTGTATTAATATCAATTGATGAACGAAGAAATTCCAATACCTTCTCAAGGTTTCCTGCTCGTGCTGCTCGTAAGAATCCCGAATTTCCATCAGACTAAAAAAACAAATAAATCATTATGGATATCTATTAGTATATCAATGAATAATGAACATATTTTTTCTCATGAATATATATCTAATAATGAATATCCAAACATTAACTTTATTTTATCATATACACATGTCGACACGTATAAATGTATTGACAGATATATTCGATCTTGATCTATTGACATTCATATTGATTTAGGCTACAAAATGGTTTTTTTTTACAACAAAAATCTGACACATTCATTCTTATCTTTAACATTATTTATTCTATTCACTTGTTTATGTATATTTTCCGGTTAAGGCATGAATAAACAAATAAGAAACTTAATGCTAAATTACACGATTTAGATATTTATTATTTCCCAAAAGGCAATCATTTGTTATTGATTAATACAATATGGTCTTTTTTTATATTATTCTATAAGAAATATGATCAGACAAAAAACAAAAAAAAAAGAAACAAAATAAAATTTAAAAAAAAAAAGTCTTGCCCAATGAAACATTACTCACGAAGGTGCATCGAATTTTATTCGACATATGTCGACCCATAATAGCAATCTTCTCTTAAAATGAACAAATATTAAATACTAATTTCCAAAGTGCGTCGTCGTAATAATGTTATAACAAATGAGACGACACTCAGAAACAGAGAAGAAGACACTGGCATACAATCTTCGATTTCTTCTATATTAATGCACTATGTATTTCTCTCTTCTTCTTTTTTTCCTAATATATGTAGAAATACCAAACTGCCGAACATTCCCAACAACAAAAAAAAATACATCTAACAATAGAAGAGAAAAGAAAACATCAAGAGAATAAGCAATCATTAGTAACATGGTGGTTACTAAATGAACCTATCGAATGATGTTTTCCATCTAAATGCGTTTATCATGTATATCCAGACTGATTAACTAACGAGACAATGAAACAAAGGCTAAAAAAACAAGTGTTATATTAGATCAACGAATGTGTATGACCGGCGGCTATATAAATTTTGCCAACTAAAACAAATAAATGTCCTTCATAAAAGAAAGACATTGTGGCCTTTTGACCGATTAGAAAAAGATGTGAAAAATAAATTCAATCAAAATAAAACAAGTCACATACCGCTGTCATATTGTCAAAAACAAAAAGATTGACATTTGCAGAAGCTTCTTTTTGTTTTACTCATCTTGTATTTGAACAGTAATCAAAAAAGATTAAAAATGTACAAATGTATATATATATAAAAGATAAGCCTCGAGAAACAAACAATTAGTATTGAACAAGTCAAAAAGAAAGAGAGGATGAGAAAATTTTCTGGCAGTACAGCACATTGCTCGTCAATAGAATCAGACAGACAAAGCATCATGAGCGTGTGAACATGACGAACGCACACGCTCCTATTTTTCTTTTATTATTATTGTATTTTTCATTCGTTCTTTTTCTCGTTAGGACCCACTTTTTGTGATGATAGAGCACACACACACACATACAAACTCACACACACACATTCTCATCTTGTTCTCTCTTTTTCCATCATGAAAAAATTGAACTAAAGGCAGATATAACATCCGTTTTCGACCAACCGGATGTTAGAAAGAACAAAAAAAAATAAAAGGAAAAGAAAAACCTAAAAAATAAAAGGATGTAACATCTGTGTGATCGAAAGAAAAGAAGGAAGGATACGCTAAATATTCAATTATAAGATAATGATTTTTAACAACAATTTATATCAAAAAATGTGTGATGAATGTATTTTTTTTTTATTTTTATTCATAACATTAAAAATTTATTTTTTTTTTTAGTAAGTTTGCTTTTCATTATCTAGCTTGATTTTTTTTTTAAAGAATCATTGAAAATCTCAAATGATTTGTCGTTATCTATTTTGTCAAGCAGATAGATATCAACGTAGCGAGAAAATGTCGCTAAATGCAAATAGAACGCATATACGAATAGTATCAAGGGAAATATCTTTCTTTACATTCTTTCTATACGAATAGAAAATAAATGATGATTATAAAGAGGTCTAGGGCGTCTTTCTCGTTCGTAACTTTTATAATACAATTATTTATGTTGATAGCAACGACACCATTGCTATACTCGTTAGATAGACGTTTTTCATTTATTCTTTTTTTTTTTTTGTGTGTAAAATGATCGATCAGGCTTCTTTCTTTTTCTTTTTTTTCGTTCATTTATATTCATTGAATAGAATGAGAAAAATAAGAGAAGTCATTGAAATCTTTTATTGAAGGTGTGTGTGTGTGTACAAACTAAGCATGTAATTTAATGTTAGTAGAAAAAAAGTGCACACTTATTCATTCTCATGCTCACTTGATGAAAATGTGGGTAGTTGACTGCAGGCAATGGAGGTAGTTTGATACTTGATGGACGGGACATTGGCACAGAATGGTTTTCTTTTGTTGATTGAGTAGACATTTTTGTGTGTCAGATAGTTATTTAAAACATGACACTAGTCGTTTTTACTATCTCTGAAGAGTAATAACAACCGATCTGGCATCAAATACTAGTAGATGCAAAACAAGCAATTCTTTTCTATCGTTTCGTTCTTGAGCTCTTCAAATAACGCTGCTTGACGTCTTGCAACGTTGTTGTTAATAATCATCCGTCATCATCTGTTGACACAAGCCGAGCAATGCAGTAACGGCTAGTCATAGGACGACTCTTCTTCTCTCATCACATCATCTTCTTGTTCGATTCGCTTGTCTATCTAGTTTTTTTTTCTTTTTTTTTCGCTCTTACACTTCCCACTTGGATTAAATATAGAATGATTCGTAAGAGATAGAGAAGAAGAGAGAGAGAGAACGCAAGCCACAATTCTGTACTAACGTTGAATAGTAACTAAAACCAATAAACTGAAACGGCAAGTAGAGTGGGAGTAAGAGACATACGATGATGATTATTACAATACAGTGTGATGATGAAGAGAGCGCAATAACGACGTCATTCAATAGTCGTATAATTTCATTAGAACCTATCTTTTTCTTTTCTTTTTATTGACAATAGTTGTTAGAAAGAAATGTCTATTGATCGAACGATCAATTTTTTCCATCGTGTAACAGAATATAAATGAAACAAAAAGAAAAATTACTAGTGTATTGAATAGTTCCCTAAGGTAGAATCAATTATATAAGTGTTATATTTTTGAATTTACATAATAAGAAAAAGAGCCGATCGATAAGCATTGACATAGATAGATCTATGCATGCATTAAATTAGCTATTGTTACTTACTGTTGATAATCTCGATTTCGCATGGGTCATTTTAACATTGATATTTAAATGCAACTACGAAAAATGATCAACTATATGTACACATATTTTATTAAGTAGGAACAATTGTAGCTCTTTGTATATATTAAGTGTAGGTAAAAGTAAAGCATATTGACTAGCATATGTATATATTGAGCTGCGGCCGCTTTGTCTTTCTTTTCTCTTTTTCTATGTCAATAAGAGAAGCGACGATAAGATCCATTTGCCAACTCTTTCTTTTTTTCCTGTCTATATTTTTACCGAACCATTTATGTACTTCTTTGTAGTTGATGATATGGCGAATAACAAAATATGATACACAAGCAACGAGAATCTCATATCATAGAATAATCAAGCGAGAAAGAAAATATGCTTGAACCATCTGGAGAAAGCAATGATTGTTATTATTTTTTTTTCTTTCTACGAACAAAAACAGCAGGATTTATGTACACAAGGAGATTTAGATATCTAATTGGACAAGAACATATTCATAATACAATTATCTTATCCGAAGGTCTACCATCCATCAATCAAATAATATCTTTAAAATAAGTCAAGCTATGAATTGATAATTATTAAGAATAAAAAATGAGAATTTTCATGTAATAATGTCTCAATTGAAGTGTATAAAAAAAAATGTCAAAAATGACATTGTCACACAAGTTTCTGTTCATATGATAAATTCCAGTTATTATTATGGTTTTTTTTGTGTATATATTAGACAAGACTTTTTAATATTATTTTAATTTAACAATAGACAGAAGCAAAATAAAGAGCAATAGCTTCAGCAAAAAAACAAAAAAGAAAAAAAATGTACTATTAAATAAATTTACAACAGTACTTAGCAAAATTAATAAGGCATAATCCAGAAGGTTAAGAAAACAACTGTCCTAAAGTCCACCATATGCTTCAGTTCTCATCTAATAACTTCTACCTATATAAATTCGATTCGTTTCTTGTTGTTCGTCACTCCTCAAATTCAATTGGAATAAGCTAGAAAACAACCATGTTTAAGCTCATCATTGCTTTATCATTATTCGTTGCCATTCAAGGACAACTTGTTGGTGGTTTTACAGATCGTCCTGATCTTATTGACAGTCCAATCACACGAAATATGATTAAATTAGCAACTAATGAATTAAAAAAATCACAAAACCTTGATGTATCACTTCTCACTGTTCTTAGTGTAGCCACACAAGTTGTCAATGGAGTCAACTATCGAATTGTTTTCGCAGCTCGTCCATATTCATCAGATGGTCTTCTTATCTGTGAAACTAAAATTTATCGACAATTCAATGGTGAACAATCGGTTTCTTCAATTCGTTGTGATTAAAAATATCTTAATATTTCTAATAAAATCATGATATAACATCATCCTATGAAAAATAGCGACTATTTAAATCATTAAATATATAGAAATAAATTCTCTAAATTTTATCATCTGTTTCAATTCTCATGAAATATATCAAGGCACATGCAGCTTCTATTTTCTTCACAGATAAGATTTTTTTTGCAAGATAAATATGATTACACTTGCTATAGCTCGCGGTACTTTAATACAGAGAACAAATTATTTAACAATAGAAGTCAACTATCGTATATCAATCAAATGAGCTTCTTTTATATATAGAATTCTGTTTCTTCTCTATAACTTTAGAAGGGCAAATATTCCTTCAGTTTAATCAATAATTAAATAATGATGCGACATAGCGTCAAGAGAAAAAAGAAAAATTTTTTTACCACAAGATTGTCAGTTGTGTTTGATGGGTTAGTAGTATCTTCCAATTCTTCAAGGTTCATGACCATGTCTAATACTGAGTATTAGATGAAACAAGCTATATAAGTCGATGAAATAGCGTGCCGCTGCCTTTTTTTCTCTCTCTCCCCCTTGGATGTTGACGTTTTGTTTCCACTTTTCTAATATATTATAAAAAAAAAACTCTCATGCGCATTGGATTGACTGTTTCTATTCTAGTTTTTCCTTTTCCTATGCTCTCGACACATTTAGCAGAAAGTTCGATCTTGCATTCAATCCATAATTCATCTGAGACAACAGAGAACACGACAGAATACGATGACAAATATAAAAAAAATGACTAAAACGTCTTTTCAGCTTATTTTCTAATCATTATTATATAATTCTTTTCTCTTGTATTTTACGTATAACAAGATCGAAGCACAAAGAAACAAAAAAAAAAAAAAAGAAAAAGAAAGATCCTACTGGATTGGTTTGTTGTACTAATGGAGATGATGTTGTTGTGTAATAAATTGGACTAGTACCAGGACCATGATCAA